ACCATGTGGAACCTTGCAGATTCTTGGTCCTTTAATGTGGGTGGCCCCAAACTGACTGCCTATAAATTTCCTTAGTAAATACCTTTAATTTCTTGGCTATATGTTATTTGATTTGTCTGGAATTAACATGTATTTTTTTTTAGTAGAATGAGTGCACACAGAATATATTTTGCATCCTACATAAAGAACATGACTGACTTCATCCATTCTGCAAGTTCAACTACATTTGATGACAGTGTGCCTGCTTCTCTTAATTTCTGCTGATCAGCTAAAGGCCCATCATGTTATCTAGAAGAGAGTAGTGATATGGACAGTCATATCCATATGGCTTGGTTAAGAGACCACGTTTCTTGCTTCTTAACTGTGTCCCAGATTCCAGCCTGTTGACTTCATCTTATTTATCATAAGTCTTACTTCACCCACTGCCTATATAGATCCTCCCTTTCATTTATACACTATGCTCCAGAGCTTGTTTTTGATGAAATTTGGGATGACAATGTCACAGTGAGAGAGAGAAAACTTTGGGAAATGATTAATATAGATATTGTAGTATTCAATATTAATATTTTAACAGTAAAACGTGTTTGGAGTTGTCAGACATTCTCAAGTTCTTCTGGCTGGGAATTTTTCCCTATTTCTAATCCTATCCTAGCAATGTTTTAAAGGAATGTTTTGGCCAGATTTCCTTTAATTTTGCTCAGGTCAAAGCTAAGGTTGTGCCCATACGGATGTGATCTTTTTTTTTTTTAATTGAAGAACTCACATGTGTGCCTGGTGGGTGGCTTTCCAACATGGCAGTACTGGAGAGGGTGCAGTTTTAAATGGTTTGCCAAAATCAGCGTGAAGCTCTTTGCAAATGGAAAGTAATTCTCGGACAAACTTCCTGTGGTTCACCAACAAGTAAAAAGGAGCAGCACATCTTGGCAGATCCACCAAACCCCTGGCAGTTATGAAGGAACATTCTTCATGAACTGGTGCACTGGTGTGTGGGTATGTGAGAATTATTCCTGGGCTAGCTAAATGAATAAAATCTCTACAGTGGCCATTTACAAGGTGTCTACTTCAAGATTGCCCTTTCTGCATTGCTTTGTCCACCATGGAAAGCCTGTACTTTGCAGGGGATTTCTGAACTTTACTGTGGCTTTGAGAGGGCAAGTATTGTGTATCTCCAAACTTACCTAACATGCACTGCTGAGAAACAACTCTAACTTCTCTATCATGGTGGGTGTTCTTTGATATACTTCAAAAAAACCTTAGCTTCCATGGCTATGGCTACTTTGACTGGAGTTTGTGGGAGTTGTAGTCCAAGTCATCTGGAGACATCCAGCTGTCCTTGCTCAGGTACCTGGAGCTTATGTGCCTGAGAGCAGTGAAAATAAAGAGGAAAGGGAGTCTTGGCTGCAGCATGGAGCTGGACAGGACTTGCGCAAATAAATCATCTATAAAGCTTTCTGCATTTGCAGCTTTCACATTTTATAAAAGTCTAATGTGTGTGCTATTTCTTCTCTTATACTCCCACCTCATTCCCTCCACAAGTTAGGCCTGCAAGCTTTAAATCAGCTTTATTAGGTTTTTTTTTCCTGCATTCCCTTACTGAAGAAAAGTCCATTTAACATAATGGGACTTAACTTCTGAGTAAATATACACAATAAATTAGATAAAGGGAATAACCTCTTCTTTGAGCATTTTGCAGAAGTTAATAGCAATATGCATGTACCTCCTGATTTCCAGCAATTTGCAAACTAAGAATATTTCTTGGTCCTAGCCCCTTCATTATTATATGCTGGGGAAAGTTCTACTGGGGGTACTATATGAACAATGGAATGAAAATGCCTTTTACATAAAATAAAAAAAATAACCTTAAGCAAATTATTTAAAAGTAGAGTTCTGCTCGCGTTTCTTTTTCAGGTGTTGGAGAAGAACTGATCCAACAGAATTTATGTTGCTGAACCCCACTTCACGACAAAACTGATGTCAACGTGCTTACTCTCTCACATGTCCTTCTCTTTGTTTCCTCTCCTTCAGGCATGCTTCTGGTAACAGCAGACACACTAGGCCACGATTTCCACATCTTCCAAATTCTCACCCACCCCTGGTCATCTTCACAAAGTGCCGTCCATCATTTGTACACGTTACACCGCGGGGAGACTGAAGCCAAAGTAAGTTGCGTAAGGAACCAGGAGGCTTTTATCTGAACTTGGCAATTGGGCAATCAACGTGGGTGTCCTTGGAAACTGCTTGTCTTGCAGTCAAGTCGGAGGAAGGCCATTTACAATGGATTCATATGTTTTTGTAAAAGATTCATCTGTGTGTGTTTTTTTTAAAACATGATGATAAAAGGCGGCTGCTTTCAGTCTTAAATCAAGGAACCAACAGTTTGCCAAATATTACTGAATTTGGTGGGCCCTTAAATGAATGAGGATCAAGACAGCTAACTGTAACAACGATGTGGTTGTGAGTGCAAAATATAGGTACAAAATCCATTAGTTGGGTTTTTTGTCAGCTTGACAGAAATTTATCAGCATCCTTGTATAGTCAAATGGCAGAAGACCTTTAATAGCATACACAACTTGCAGAATATTATATTGCTATCTGCACAAAGATAAGCAAAAATTAAATGCTTGAAGGAAAAACGTGGAGAGATATTGAAACTGGCTTCTCTTTATTACTGCTATCATACATTGCAACCAGTGCAAACATCTCTGGGAGTTAAGCCAGACTGAGACCATGGTAACTTAATTTCTGAACACTGCACTTCAGAAGTAACTAATAATTTCTTCTTTACTATAAACCAGCTTCCAATTTTCGTAGCCTTACTCTCTTTCCATATATTGGAATTTTAACTCCCATAACCTGTGGGCAGCATAATATTTGACCAGATGGAGAAAGACTGATAGAATTTAAAGTTGTAGTGAAGAATCTTTTGTTTCAGAATTTAGTCCTAAAATACCCATTTGGTGTGGTTCAAAGCATTTAATGCTTTACTTTATAACATTTTTATTTCTTTTCCTTGTTTATAAGCTGCTTTTCAAGACAATCCTCCTTTCTTTCTCTGTTAGTGTACAGTAAATAAACTTATAATAAAGTCATAAATAAATTAGTAAAACAAAGAAATAAAAGTGATAAAAGTCAACAGTGAGAGCCCCACCCCTCAAAACAAAAACAAAACAACAGAACAAGAACGTTTTTAAAGCTCTGAAGGAAGGTATAAAGTCCAGGGGAAAGGAAGATAATTTATGTATGTAATGTAGAACCAGTGTTAAAGATACAAGAACTGTATGCTGGTGTTCCACTGTTGGTGAATTGGTATTTGAAAATACTAGACCTGGGCTTGATCATGCCTTGTATATGAACAGTCACCTTAAAAAAATCCTGTTCATTGCCATTGTTTTACTTGGCTGCTGCAACTTTCTTTTTCTTATGTTGGTTGAGGCACATGGTTCATCTTGATCAATCAGGAACTTTTAGTGAATATCAAGAAGTCACTTAGGGCAAACGAAGTCAACTGAGGATGCCTGAGAGCAAGACAAGGCAATACATGTCTTAAGGGGTGTTGAAAAATCAGCAAGGAGAAGGGATATTTATTTGAGTGGGTTCACAAAAGTTATGGGTGGGTTTGGCTTGGTTCTAATTTATTTAAATATATGCAATTTTAAATTGGCTCAGATTCTAGAGCAGAAAGCAAACTCTGTAACATTCAAGAGACAAACAAGGGAAACAAAAATGTCTGAGCTGCTCTAAAAACCAGCCAAGTTGGCACCCTTTGGCAAAAGGCATCGCATGGGTTTTACAGCCTCTTGACATCTTGAAGTTGTCTGAGAGCAAAGCCAAATTGGTGGTTGAGGTTGCCAAGGATATCCTATCATTTTGAACATTTATATAATTGCATGTATATGTTTTTAGCCTTTGCATGTTACAGAGATACCTATATTTCAGCAGTGAGAAAAACAATGTCTTGAAAATCCTTTGTTCTGAAAACTGCTTGCGTAAATTGCTCTTTGTCTTCTAAGGATTTTTGAGGGAGTGTGTTCAGTCTGTAGCCTGTAGTTCTCAGCCCTGGATTTTTCAAGTTCTACAGTCCATAATTCTCAGCCCTTCAGGACTGCTGTATTTTCATTTCCATTTCTACTCAAAAACTAATGTATTTACCCCTCCCTGTCTCCCTCTCTCTCTCTCTCTCTCTCTCTCATGCACACACACATGTGCACATGCACACACGCACACACGCACACATTCACCATATAACATCAAGGACTGGAGAGGATCCAGTCCTTGTTTATTTCCAAAGCTAGCAGGTTACAGTGAGTCACTCGTCTCCTGCGCCCCACAGCAAAAAGTGGTTTTCAAAGTTACATAGATCTTCTGTAGAATGTTGATCAAAGCAAGTCAAGCGTGTGCACAATGCAGGGCAACCTGAGTGTAAAGGGAATTGCTTTACAACTGACATAACTATGAGGTAAGAAATAGAGTGTGAAGACACTACAGGCACATTCTTTGAAATGGAACAAAACAACCTTAATATGCAGTAGGTGTTAGTCAGCTAACTGTTATTCTAACACTGTGACCCTGCTGTGGCTATGGCAAGAGGAAAGAGACAAGAGAGTATCTGCCGCAGAGCCCTTGCGCCTGGCACTTCTTATCCAGGGCATACCTTTTTTTAGGAATACTGTATGTGTTAAGGGCCCCATTTTGTGGCTATACTGATAATTATAGGATAATTTTTCTTGGCTACCATATATATTTATTTGTGTTGTACTGTACTTGTTTTAATTGTTTTTATGATTGTTCACCGCCCGGAGTCATTTGGTTGAGATGGGTGGCTGCAGAAATGAAAACAAACAAACAAATAAACAAAGCAAGCAAAACATCTACAGGCCTATTATACAGGCTAAATAAATGGAGAAGAGTCTATACTATTAAATTAAGGTATATCAAACTTAGTACAGTATACCATTCCTACAGATCACATGCTGTTTAAATCTTTCAGGTTCTTCTCCCCACATTTTGCATAGACTTAATTGGCTGCTTGCCTGTCCTCATCAACTTGGTGGAGTTTCCTTTAACATTTCAAACAGGCTGGAGGACCAGAATCAAAAAACCATTTGTAAACCAGGATTTGTGCTGACTTTAGTTGGGCTTGATGTCAAATACAGTCAGGTCCATTGTTTATCCTCTAGGGGCTGTCGATGATTCATGTGTAAATAGGCAGCCCAAAGGTGAAAGGCTGAAAATATTAAAGCAAAGAGGCGGGTCTTAATCAGGGTCTTGACTCCTAGGCAGGGCATACTGTGAAGTGGCAGAAGAGCTCTTTCTGCAAGTCCCTCATCGTCAAAGCTGCCTTAAACTGAGACATCATAGGCAAGCAAGACAGGTTCCAGCTGAGCAACTTCCTAAAAGAAAGAGCAGTTTGACAGTGGGCCCAGTGATGTGGAAAGGGGGACTCCCTTTCTCTGGTTGGTTCAAGCCGAGCATCAGGGAGCAATGCTTTAATTTGGATACCTGCGTGGCACAGGGGGTTGGACTTGATGGCCTCAATGACCCTTTCAATTCTAGGGTGTCACCCACAGTTGAATGGTTAATTATAGCCTCATGTGTTGAATGTGTTGAGTGAAGTGTCTGGATTTGGGATGCTTGTATGCAAAGTGCTTTGGACATAGGAGAAGTACTTTGGAGGCTTCTAATGTGCTGCACAACTGCTGTTTGTCTTCTTGTTGTTATTAGGAAGTGGAGCCACACCATGTCCTGGAGAGGTACACCATCTTTCTCTGTAAACAGATAAAAGTTTGGATCTCTGCTGGACCACACTTGTCTCTTTGATCTTTGAACATAAACACATGCACCAAAAGGCCTGTGGGCCATGTTATCTCAAGCCCTAGCAAATAGGCTCAGTGATAGCAAGATGGGCTGCTGTCCAGAAAAGCCTGTGTCGTCTTTTTTGCTGTTCAGCTTCTGCTTTTATTCTGACTCCCAGACTGTTGTCCCAAGCTACTTTGGGGACAATCTGGTCATGAAAAGCTGGCACTGCTTCTCAGGTTATATGAGTTTGCTTTCCCTAGCACAGCCCCATCAGAAATACGTTTCAGGTGATTCATGTCCTTAAAACAAAAGGTATTGTGTCCAGTTTTAGATCTGTGTAGAGCATTATGTGGGGAAAAGGAACTAGCAGTCAGATGGGGATGATTCCCAACTCTATCCTGTTTAGATTTATTGGAAGCTGCTTCATTCCAAGTCCCTCCAGGCCAGTATGGTCAGCACTGATGCTGAGGATTGAACTCTGGATCTTCTGTGTGCAAAGCAGGTGTTCTATCCATGGGTTACAGTCTGTCCCTTGAAAAAATTACTTTATGTCAGGACGAGATATAAACAAGGCCATCTTCTTGCATATTGGCTGGTTTGCTCCAGATATTATTTTTTATTTCTTTATTTATATATCAAATTTGTCACTGCCCATCTTGTTAAAAAACTACTCTGGGTGGTTTACAGAAAGGATAAATATTAATTAAAAATACAATAAAACAGTAGTCTTAAATAAATAATAAGTATATTCCAAGGATTAATAGTAACTAGAGAGTGTTAGGTTCGGGGAGCATCATCAGGGTGCCAGCCACCCCCAGGGTTTGTTAAAACTCTTCTTGCCCCATGCAAGCTGGCAGAGCCAGGTATTTAGTCCTTTCTGGAAAGGCGGGCGGGTAGGGCCCGCCGTACCTCTGGGGAGAGAATATTCCAAAGGGCGGGAGCAACGGCAGAGAAGGCTCTCCTCCTGGGCCCCGCCAGCTGACCTTCTCTTGCTGACGGGGGCCATAACATACCTTCTCTGCCTGACTGGGTGGGCCGGGTTGATGTGATGGGGGCGAGATGGTCCCTCAGGTAGCCTGGACCCGTGCTATATTAGCACGTTGTACGATCTACAACGAGATTAACTTACAGTTCAAATTGTTGGGCAGACCCAGAACACTGGGCTAACAATAAACGTGTTGTACAAACAGAGTCATTGCCTACAAGTAGTGGCAGCAGCTCACCAAGTCTTCCCGTTATTGTTACCTGTCCTGTGACAACCTGAGACCTTTTGCACAGAAGGCAAATGCTGCTGCTAAGCTATCCCTTCTCTTATTGGCACCTCCAAGGTTAAGTCAAAGTTGCAATCGTCTTCTCTTTTCTC